ATGCAGTTCAAGGGCAGCAGCTTGGCTGGAATCCCAACCCTGGAAGTTACTCAGAGAGGTGAAGACACAATTCTTTTTTCCTCCTCCATTTCTTACCTACTACCCTTTCTTTTTGGTGTGTGAGCATCTCCATTTCCCAGTAAGTTTTCTATATGCCACTATCAGACTTTATTAAAAGAAACATATGAATACAACAACATAGAGCCTAAGTCAATAATACAGGAAAGAGAACACTAAGTGTAAAGTCTTCCTTTTTCCAAATGCACTGGTCCACTTTCTTTTTCAGAGGCAAGAAAGAATCATTTTATAAAAGAAAATAGTATGTTGGTGTATTTGTTGTATTTGGAAAAATCAAATCAATAAAAAATAAAAATAATTTGCAGAAAAGATGTCAAAAATGTTTAGAAAATGGAAATGCCACCTTTGATCATGATTAGGGATAATGAAATTCTGGTGTAGAAGTTTAAGCAACAGGAGGTGTTGAATCTGCAGGGCTTTTCGCATAAAGTTAAAAAAGAAGAAAAATAATATGTTCTATTTTGTAAAGTTATGAGTGTATTCATTATTATCATCACATCTTAGGTTATACCAAAAAACTATTTCTGTGTAGTCAAGACCATAGGACACCTGGTTACAGACACCTGTACACATGAATCACCTGTTGGGACACTCACCTTATTTGTTTAATAAAACATGCATCGATGACACCTAAGAAAGGGAATGCTTTTCTTTATCATCTCTACTACATTACACAAAATAAGAGCTTCACAAAATTATAGAAGAGGTTCAGTACCATTTCTGATTGCTGAAACAGTACTGAACATGTATCCTCAACTACACTTTCAGCTAAACAACCATTCTCCTGACACCTGTTGCCTGTCGCATCTGTTATCTCTAGCGTAAAAGCCACGACAAACTTGCTTTCACTTCCAACTTACAACCACCACCAATGCCCACACTCAATTCTTCTAAATCCCATGGGAGACACAACCTTCCTTAGACCTCAGATAAATATTTTACCACCAGATTTTACTTAAATGATTATTATAAATTATTATAAAGAGTCTTACAGCATATTAGGTTGGTGTGAACGCTGTGCTTGAGTTAAACTATCCACAACAACACCCACAACCCACAATGTTATTTGTAAACCAAATTTATTCAACTATGCCATAGACACCACATATAATTGGCGACCTAAGCCCAGGGCTAGTCTAAGTTTAGAGTATCATTATCAGAATTTAGCTCAAAATTTAAGTACATAAAATAAGTTTTTACAAAAGCTAAGACCATGAGAAACATTTCCATTATCTCTCTTTTTAAGTCCAACAGAGAGTATTTTAAACATAAATATTTCCTTGTAGTATCTGCAACCCAAACACTAAGTCTCAGCATGTAAGAGCCTGAAATTGAAGCCAATTAGTCCATGTTCACTGTCCAGAGAAAAATATAAATAAAAAACCCAAATGAATAGTTAATCAAATTAGATGTTTTAACTGTTCATTTTTATTAACCTAAATTTCCATTTGCAACACACAAATACATTTCTAACCTTTACAATATCTCTTTAAACGTGGCAGAATAAAGAAGCACACACACATTTTGATCACCCTTACAACTTCTGAGTTGAAAAAACAGAAATAATCATCCAGGAAGGAAAAGGTTGTTTTCCCAAAAGAAATTCTTAAACATTTCTCCCCTATTCTCACAATTTTAAAGGTCCAAAGTAGCATTTTACAATTGTAAGTTAGAATGGCAAAATGGAGAAGATAAGCCGAATTACCATCTTCCTGGAGTACTATTAACAAGGCCAGCCTTACGGAAGAAAATGGAGCCCCGGGGCAAACTTGTATTTTGGAGCCCTTTCTTTGAGTTTGAGTACAGCACCATGGGGCTCAGAGCACAAGGGCCAGCTCCTGGCCCCGGAGCCCGGCTAGGCTGAAGAGGGAGGAGTCCGGGGCTCCCCTGGCCATGCACCCTCTGAAGACCTAGCAGGAGGAGAGTGGGTGAGCAGACACCACCCATACCCACAGGAAGGGAGGACCCAGGGGCTGGCCCAGTGGCTCTGCAGGGGCGAGCCCTGCTGCTTGTGTCTCCCCACCAGGCTGGCAGCTCAGGGCAGCATTTTCCAGCCCCGGGTTCACCCACACTCACCCTGCTCCAGAAGCCCAGGCCCGCCATCTTGCAGCACTCAGACAGCACTCCCCTGACTACAGCACCCTGGGTGGTTGCTCATGTCACAAGGCTTTGTAAGGCTGGCCCTGACTACTAAAGAGGGCCAAGGCCAGAGTCAGGGAAATGTGTTTTAATAGCAGAAGAAGCTATTTCCTTCCGCCTTGCCTCTTTACTGCTTCAAATTACAGCAGGAAAAATACACACAAACCACACACTCAAATGTAAATATATATGTTTCAGGGGAAACCCAAAACAATGTAAGCCAAAAAAAATTCTCTTCTCAACTCTGAGTTGGTAAGACAACTCCCACCTGTTCATGCTTTCTGTATGTGTGTATATATATCTCCTCAATATATGTTCCACTCTATATGCATCCGAAGAAGTGGGCAAAGCTTATGCTCTAATAAATTTGTTAGTCTCTAAGGTGCCACAAGTACTCCTGTTCTTTTTGCGGATACAGACTAACACGGCTGCTACTCTGAAACCCGATTTAGAGCATCAGACCACACGACAAAGAGAGAAATGATGCAACAGGATAGGATTTTATTTATTTTAAGGCAAAGCATGCAGCACAGACAATTATATAATCTACGTGTTCCACCCACTCACTCCTGGTTGGCAACAACCCCAAATCAAGTTTGCTGCAGCTTCCACAATTTAAATGAGAAGCTCCTATTCAGTAGGATATGCCCCCAATACTGGTACTTTGGGGTTTTGTGGCCAGCACCTATGGCAGCCCCCTACTGCACCATCACCCATTCAACTGGGTGTGTTCCAGCTATGCAGCTTGGTCACTTACAATAGCAAATACGGGGTTTAGAAGACCCCACAGCTAGTTCCAGCTTGTGTGATTGAATATAGCAGGTACCAGGGATGGTACAGCTGAGAACTTGATCCATTTAAAGAGGTAAATTTACCCCATAAACAGGATTTTCCCTTCCTCTGAACCAAATAAACCACTTCTCACAAACTGCCCTCTCCAAAACCAAATCCCCTGCAACCCATCCCTTCTAAGAACACTCCTCTTCTCCCCGTCTTACCAAGTACTCCAACACTACCCCATTTCCAAAATCTCCAAACCTTCATTATTAGCCACCAACATCAAAACTTCTTCAATAACCCTCTCCAGTCCTTCCCTAACCCAACAGACCCCACACAACACTTCCATAACCCCATACAAACCCGGTAACATCCCGTACAAACTCTCCGACCACCTCACAGCACCAAAACCTTCCCAACAAACTATGTAACTGGGGGGGGGGGGGGGGGGGGGGGGG